TGCGCCATGCATTAAAACTGCGTCAGTGTGTGTGTGTGTGTTTCTTAAGGGTGTACTTGCTTGAGGTTGGTCTTCAGATGAAGACCACAAGGAAACCGCACATGTTTGCCTCCCCCTAGTTCGAGACAAACTCGAACCGGCCATGTGCATATATAAATCATATTTGGGAATCCTTGGCTACAAATCATTTCCATGGGGTTTAAAATGACGTCGGTTCGAACGGATCCAATATTCATTGACACACCCAACATGAGGGGCAATGGCAGTTTGGAAAGTCTTGCTTGAATATTGGAGCCCCTTTGACATGGGGGGAAATCTGACTGGAGTCAATCCCTATGAAATATGGGGGTGCCCAACATTGGGAAAGGACTCCCATTGGGACGGTTTTTGGAGGGGCGGGGAAACCAAAAGGACGCCAACTTTATGCTATACGTCAGCTTTTCAGTCAAACTCACTTACTGTAAACTGAGCACGTGCACCATTCACGCTGAGTCCACGTAAATTTAGTGAATTGACATGTATCCTGAGCCCGAATGACTCCATGCGTGGAACTCCACAGGGATGTGTAACAGTTGGCCCAGAGCACAGTGGGCCTTTGGCACTTGCTTCGGCTGGCCGAGCTGTTCGCACTGTGGCAAGCCGACAGGGTCCTGAGACAGATGCAAAGCATCTTTCAAGCTCCGGTGGAAAAAACTCACCCTACTGGACATCACACCACGTGCCTGGGCTCATTTGATTCAGCTCTCCTCTGGTTTGGTCACTCCAAGGTGCATCTGAATCCAGGGGCGGTTGTTGCTAAATGGGGACCCCTGCATTCAAGTCATTTGCGTGGCTAACAGATAAATAGAACCCTAATTTGACAATCAAGGTCCATTCCATATGCTGCTGTGCAGGACATGGGACAAATTGGCCGGGACTTTGTGAGTCCCCCCATGTACCTCTCAGATGGACCGCGGACTTTCCGTTAGTTGTGGCCTCCATTTGCTTGAGTCCCCCTGAAAACAATGTAACACACTTCCAATAGTGATAGATTCGAAACCAACAGGAGAAAATGATGAATGGGTGTGTCTTCTTCTAAGGGACCCACCAACATGGTAGTGTCCTGTTGGTCTCCCTTTAAAACCACTATACAAAGGGCACCGATTCAAAAAACTCACTTCCTGAGTGGCCAACAAAGTCCAAACGTTTTGGTTTCCACTAACATGTTCTACAGGAAAGATGCAAAGTCCACGAAGGGATGGTCTACCCAAACAGCTTAAAGTGCATGAACCCAGGGGTGGTCTTTAAAGTCCATGATTTCCGGGAGTGGGAAAAAAGCCGAGCTATTCTTAACTCGGTTTCTTTCTGCTCCCCTGCGAAAAGATAACTATTTAGTGGTTTAATGGAAAACCCATTCGTTGGCAAAAAGTTGAACTCCTAACATCCAAGCAAAATGTATCAAAGTTACAGCTCACCAAACCCAGATCCCCGAGATCTCTTTCCTCACGCCTTCCAGGCGCGGCGCCTGGCGGGCAGGTACAGGTACCTGGTATCCTGGGACATACTGTGGATGGACGAAATCGATTTCGCACCACTTAGAAACCGTGGGAAATAATATTGTTGTTTGGTATTTACAGGCGAATCATGGTTCCAGGGTTTCTTAGGTGGTGCAGGATTTCGTCCATCCACAGTATGTCTACCATTTCTGTACCCCTTGAGTATTTGAGCTGTAGTAGTTTGCAGGGGCACCCCCTGGCCGGCAGGTACCCCTGGTACCCCACTGGTTGCTGTGGTATTTTGCAGGGGCACCTGTCCAGGGGCCCAGGGGTACATCTTTGGGACCTTGGAACAAATCAAAACCTGACCAGGAAAAAACAAGTATATGACAGTATCATCTGAGGTTTCACTGAGTGGGGGGTTGGGCGGGAAGGGTTGATTCATCCGACGTTAATATCAGCCAACAAAAATCAGACGCACATGACAGTGTATGTGAGCTATGGCATCTATTTCGCTATTTGCTACACGAGTAAATGGTCGGGTGTTCGCACCTCATTCTCCACTGCACTCGTTTGGACTGATTGACCTCGCTTTCCAACGCCGCATGTGTTCGTGATCTCAACCGTATGTCATGGCCCTACCTCGGTTTCGGGGTGTTCCTGCTTCGTTTTGCGCCTAATTCGGATACCAAACAAATGTTTCCGCCCTGCCGTTAGCTGGCCGCATGGAAAGCACCACCCAGCTGGCGCTTTCCATTGCTGCATGAATTGGTGGTCTAGCCAATCCCTGCTCATGTTGAAACTACAGGTTAAAATCATCAAAACAATTTTGCGGACACCCGGTCGGTGACACATACCCAAATAGTCACATAGCTCCAATTCCGCGTAGATGGACAACTGAAGACACCTCCGGCTCCGGGAAGTGTCCCGAATCATTCGCCTCATGCCGAGGCTTGGAACTGCAAGGAACATCATGCGCAGGGCGAAACGTGCCAGTCGACCATTCCGTGCCATTCCCTATCGGACCAGCAAAATGTAGAGGCAGAGATCCCCGATTTTAGGACACTGTGGATGGACGCAATCCTACACCACATTAAAACTATAAGAAGCCATTGTTTGTTGGTATTTACAGGCGAATCATTATGCCATGGCTTCTCAGGTGGTGCGAAATGGATTTCGTCGCTTTTTCTCAGCTCCTCCGGCCGGCCTCTGCCCTCAAAGTCTCGAGGATTCCTGGGAATTTGCCAGGCATGTTTTGATCAATCTGAAGCTGTTGTGAGTTTGTTGTCCTTGGAAGGGAAACAAAGGAAAACCGCCCATAGGGTTCCCTCATTTAGAGACAAACCAATACTCACACGGCCATCTTTCAGTACAATAAATTCTTTTGGGGTGGGTTTACAAGCAAACCAACATCCAACCGCGTGAAGAAGGGGCCCCTGGCTTGGACACCAACCTCTTGCTAGACAACTCGTGAAGCACCGGGCCTCTCTGTCATGATGACCACTGCTGGAAACATGACCAGCTGGTCTGCAAAGCTGCAGGTTAATAGCCAGAAAAGCATTTAGTCCTGGCGCACGGCATCTAGGGCTGTGCAAATCCTCGCCAGCACAGAAGCCAACCAATGATGCTGTGGACATCTAGTCTAAGTCCACCAATTTGCAGCGCACACTTTGTGATGAATGGGCTCCAATGACTGTATGCATAGCCGATTCCTAGCGCTAATCTGTGGCGCATGGCCAGCAAAGCAATGGAGCAGGATCAAAGTGTGTGCAATGGGGTCGCAGCGGACTTCCTTTCTTTGCTGAGTCTGAAAAAGGTCGTTGCGCTTGGGAACGCATGAGGGTTTGTCAACACACTGCTAGCATGACCATATCGCAACCGTTCAAGGGTCCTGTACATTGGACTGCCAAACCAAGAAGTCTGCACAGCATGCCAATGAGTGAAGACGGCGACTCATTCGCAAAGACATGTTAGACCTAGTCCTGACCTATCTGACCCTTGCATCAGAAAAGAAGATATATGCTCGGGTCACATCGCTCGCTTTGGGCCCCAGCCGTCTCCAGAAAGCATCGCGCGAGAGATGCCCGCACCTGGGCTGAAAGATAAGCACAAGGTCACTTTCAGCAGACCTCCCCGACATTCAGGCGCTTGTGAGAGAGTAAACATGGACTTGGATGCTCTTTGTGACACATTCAGCCAAATGGGTCCTGCTTCTGGAAGGGTAGTACTTCATAGAAATCGGCTGCAAGTGTAAGAGATCAGCTCAGCAAATGCCAAGTAAAGATGGAACCAGCCTACAGAAATCAGAAACGCCAAATTCTGCCCTTGTGCAACAACTTTGGCTCGAAATATCCGTCTGTGTTGCTAGGCTCAGGCTCAGAGGTACCCCCGCCCCAGCTGAGCGGACCCGCGCAATGGAAACCCTAGGGAAAGAAAGCCGCAGAAAGATTAGATAAGTCCCCTCACGTCCAACCAAGCACTTGAATGGCGTGTTGGTTAAACAGCCCCATTCGCTGGGTTTGCTATCCACGCAGCTCTCCAGGGGGCCCTGGCAGTATCTGAAGGCACAGTCCGTCTTCGCCTGGCAAGCTCCGCCAACCCTTGCACTTTGTCACTTTACAGAAACTTCCCTTGGCACAGAAAGTGGGAGCCTGAACCCAAGCATTTCCACGATGGCTCCGAAACTGAGCCAGCCAGCCCTTCAGGGCTTAAATCCGCTCACCAGGGATTCCCCACAGAACAGGGATTTGAGATGCGAGGTCCGACCAATACACCAACAAAAGCAACTCATCTAAAAGGGAAGGGCCTAGCCCTTTGGCACACCAAGGGTTTGGGACCCTGGCGTGTGGACAAGACATTGACCCTTTGTCGCGGTCCCCTTCGAAGGCAATGACACCGAAACGGGTCTCTGTTCACACTCTCAGGGGGGTGTTCAAATTTCGGCGCACACTCGCACACGTTCACGGGAGCCTAGCAAGCACTTGAGACGATATGATCCGGCGAACAGCCGACCAGATTAAGTTGCATCCTGTAGAGGAGGGGTGCTGCCTATCATGTTTGCTGCGAAAGTTTAATATATTGCTCCATAAATTATATAAGGGGCTAAAATATTGATTATCTACCTGTGGACCTGTTGCCACAATGGTATTGACTTGACTTGGTTTTGAGGTGCCCCCAAAACCCTTCTAAGCATCGAGCTGTAGTTCTTTCAGATAACTTTTGGAGCCTCTGTGTCTCTCTAATCTGGGTGCTAAACAAGGGTTCTGGACAAAATGGGCAAAATCTGCATCCCATCCGGATTCTTCTTAATAAACTGGGGTTACTTCAGTCAACATTATGAACCATCATATCTGGGTGAATTATAACACTTCACCAACCTGTTTGGGGGGCTATTCCCCACATAAACCGCCATTTGGGGTGAGGTCGTGTGAGGTCGTTATAATTCACCCAGATCACGTACTGTATTTGGATTCCCGACACCTGGTGCCCCAGCGGCACGAATTTTCCGAAGCGCACGAGGTGCTGTCACCGCTTTCGGTCCCGAAGCCAGGTGTAGGCGACGCCGGCCACGAGCGCCAGGGTGAGAGCGGCGGGGAGATAGTCCATCAGCACCTTGGGAGGTTTCTAAGCCTCACCAAGCAATGGTCACCCATAGCAAACAGATTAGACTGTTGGTTTCCCACCAAAAAGGGTCTTCCGGAAAAGTGTAGCGTCCATTTGGGAGTGAGAAGTAGGTCACAACCGTGGCTAGAAGAGGGGCAACAAAGGTTGGTTGACCATTTCCGTATAATAAGCGAGGGGCTAGAGGGGGCTACCAGAGGATAACATAGAGTGGAGGAAAAACTGGATGCTGAGCTCGCATAGAACTCGGGGCCACCCGAAACGAACATCTATCTCTGAAATCTATGGTGAACGGCATCCGCTACTGTAACTCGAGATACAACAACATATCCTTGAGTTCAACACGAATTTGTATGTTACTGCTGAATCAATGGCAGTACCTTTGTTATCCTGGACCTTTCGCTGTTACATTATTTTGTGTCACAAAAAAAAATACTCGGGGCAACTATTTTCGCCCAATGATCCAAAAAGTGCTCGTTCCCCAAAAAGCGCTCGTTTCATGAACACTGGTTTCTTGCAAAGTACTAATTGTTACATGTTTTGGATTTGCGCTCGGTTTGCCGGTATTTGCGTTTGTTTTGCGGGTATTTGCGCCCGTTTCGCGGGTATGTTTCCACAGTGTCCACACAACAGACTATATGAGAAGAGAGAAGCCGCCGCAATAGCCAAAAAGCTCGAATCCAAATTTGTGCTCGTTCACCCGAAAAACGCCCGACTAGCAAATTTCTACTACGAAACACCCAAGGGACACACATTTATGTAACGAATGAAGGTCCAAGGATTGTAAAGGAAGTCAAAATACGTCCCTTCCAAAATGCGGAAGCCAATGACAGAGTAAAGCCATGGGCAATGTTCGACTGTTTCGCCAAAATTGATATACGAAACCCGGGTGTGCCGGCCTTTGATTATGTGGGGGTACTAAGCAACACACGATACTAACTAGTGGTTCCTTGGGTTGAAACTGTTTTGCAAAGGTGGGACGTTGGGCAGACCCTACCGGTAGGTGGACTGTCTTGTTGCATTGATATATCCAGCAAGGGCTTCGCTTGTTGAAGGTAGTGTTTTGTTAACCCTGGTGCTGCAAAAAATGCCCATGGCCCCTGGCACTCTGGAAGGCACGGGAGGAATGTGACATGACGCAATCCGTGTATCAACCCATTCCTGCTGAAGCATGATTGCCAAATTTGTTCGGCAAATCTTCTGCTACCGCTGCCCTTCGCTCGATTCTTCTTCTGAAATTCATTGAGGCGCAGGCTAAATCACCCCAAAGATACATGCAGGCCTGCTGGCTAGTCACGAAATCCCAATCCCTTGGTTCTTGCCATGGCCACGCGACTCTCCTGGCTCACAGTCTGCCACGATCGACACGAAGCCCTTTGATAATCGCAAATCGAGCATTCTCCACCCCAAACTATAATTGCCCAAGAGTCATCTTTAGACGGGTTCCCTCCTCGGCTCAGGCCGCGACGGTCGCGCCCATCCCTCTAGGGGTTGATTCCATTTCCATTCTTTTCAACCATCGTCCTTTCAAAAAACTGCTGTTTCCCCTGGGTTTCCGGGGTTTTCTAGAAAGAAAGATCCCTGGGAAGAATGAAAATTAAAGGCACCCCTAGAATCCCACCCCATCACCCGCCCCCCCCGCCCATCAACCCCCCGGCGCCTGCTTCCGCCGTTGCGCCATCGCCTCCTTCTCCGTGAGGCCCACCTGGCCCCGCCACAGCCGGCCCTTCACCTCGAGGCCCTGCAGCACCCGCCGCAAGTTCTGCGGCGTCACGTAGCCGTACCTGGATCGATTCAGTCACAACTTTCAGGGGGCTTTGTGCTTATGTTAGGAGCTACAGGGAAAATAAATCATTAAAAGGATCCCAACTATGTTTGGTATGCTTCATAGTGTTGTTCCGATTGTTTCTGAGTCCCTCGACTTTAATTTGGCTGGCCTTCAACACTGGGGCTGATTGGATTTTTGGTATAGTTTGTAAAGGATCCGCGCTGCGTCAACCAGCCCCTGCTGTTCCACGTGTAAGAATGGCGATGACCTACAAACTAGGTGAACATACACATGTCAGACACTCAACAAAAACGGGCCATGAGCTGAAAGGGCCTGCTTAGAAACCTCCAACGCGTGCTTGTATATCGGTGTGTGGCGACACGGATATGTAGATCATCCCCGAAAGTCAGCAGTTGAAGAGATCATTGCATTCTTGCCAAACATGGCGGGGCCCCTGTGAAGGACAACCTGCAGGTGATCGTACTCATGCCAATAAAGGGTCTAATCCCCAAACACTGATGCGTAGCATGTTCAGCCACCATTTGGGTTTGGGTATGGGTTGGTTTGTTGACCAGTGGTCTCAAAGCAATATCCGCGTAGAATTGCCTTTTGCATGTCCCAAAAAAAAGAAACAAAAGACAACTTGCTCGGTAGTGGTCACTCATCTTAGGATTTAATTCTTTGCTCGAGCTGTCCTTAGGGCCACTTTTGGGTGGGAGAAGCTTGGACCGGCGTCCCCAAAAAGGAATCCTACATTTCGGTTGGCTCAGCAATTGTCACCTGGGTCTGCCTCAAAATAGGGAACCCTTTGTGGGGAGAAGTTAAATGGAAACCAAAAGGAAGCCAACCATGTTGCAAGCCCACCTATCCCAACCGGTCCTAAAATGAACATGCTGATTCAGCTGATCGGTGCCAGTGTCCGCCGTAGTCCCCGCCGTACACAATCACATTGCCCGCGTATTTGTGGCCACCAACGTGCGAGCACCGCCGGATGTTCAGTTTGGGCACCTGCGCATGACCAAGGCCAGTCTCTGAATTAAATTGCCGAATGCTCAGACAGTACAGGATTAGGAAAATCCACAGGGCGGACTCCTTAAATAACTGTGCACACTTCTGTGCACCTGGTTGCTCTAAATGGCCGCGCCAAAAGGATTGTTAATCACACACACACCACACACAAACACAAACACAAACACAAACACACACGCACACACGCACACACGCATATGCACACACGCACACACGCACACATGCACACACGCACGCACACACAAACACAAACACAAGCACAAGCACAAGTTCACAAGCACAAGTTGAAAAGCACAAGCACAAGCACAAGCACAAGCACAAACACACAAACACGCAAACACACAAACACACAAACACACAAACACACAAACACACAAACACACAAACACACACACAAACACACAAACACGCAAACACACAAACACACAAACACACAAACACACACACACAAACACACAAACACACACACACAAACACAAACACAAACACACACAAACACACACACACACACAAACACACACACACAAACACACAAACACACACAAACACACAAACACACAAACACACACACACAAACACAAACACAAACACAAACAAACACACAACACACAAACACACACACACACACACACACACACACACACACACACACACACACACACACACACACACACACACACACACACACACACACACACACACACACACACACACACACACACACACACACACACACACACACACACACACACACACACACACACACACACACACACACACACACACACACACACACACACACACACACACACACACACACACACACACACACACACACACACACACGCGCACACGCGCACACACACACACATACATACACACACACACCCACACGCGCACACGCGCACACGCGCACACGCGCACACGCGCACACGCGCACACGCGCACACGCACTCACGCACTCACGCACTCACGCACTCACGCACTCACGCACGCACGCACGCACGCACGCACGCATGCACGCACGCAGACACGCAGACATGCAAACACACAGACACACAGACACACAGACACACAGACACACAGACACACAGACACACAGACACACAGACACACATACCTGCTCTATGTCATTCCGCAAGCGCATGAGCAACTGCCTCTAGGCTTCTTTGTTGGACCGAAGAGTCAGCCACACAGCCATATGCTTATAGAAAGTTCATGTCTTAATCTCAGTGGGCCCGCACAACTATTTAATTCACAAAAGGGACCCTCGTACGGGGCTGGTTTTCGTGCCAAGTCAGGTGAGCTCCTTCAAACACGTGGTGCGGCGACTCGCTCTAAGCAGTGCCACTCAATGGCGCAAAGCCCACAAAGAAACTTGACCAGACTTAGACCCCTGCAAAGTTCAGGTTTTGTTCGGGTCAGGGAAAGAAGCTCAATTATTGTCGGAACAGCGGACATTCTCAAACAAAGTCTTCCCAATACCTCCAAAGATCAAGTTTTATGTGGTCCTTGCAGTAAATCACCTACCGAGATTATTTCGTCGCCCAAGTCAGGTTGGAACCTTCCTTCTTTCAGTGGGCAACCCGGCTGCGCGGTCCTTGCTCCTGTTCAGCACCGACTCTTGGGGTTCTGCATCGATAGCAAATTCAATCGAGCCGTCTTTTTGAGCCTTTTAGCAAAGAAGTTTTGATCAATCCATCTTCGGCATATTAACTTCCTCTATCTCATTCCTTCATCATCCTTAATCATTACCGCAATAATTATATCTGACAAGGGCGTTACGAACAAAGCCACATCGATAAGCCGCCCCCCTCCCACACTAAACCCCCAATCCAGCGCATGGAATGAAGCATAGCAAACTTTGGGCCGACCGAGCTTGATACAGCAGGCTCTAGTCAACCCAAGTTGGAGCATAGCAGGGTCCCTCCGTTTCCATCAACAGGTCCCAAGTCGGAGAGCCCTCCAACTTTGCTGTCTTACACGCTGTGTACAAACATGTATCACACCTGAATTGGCACAAAGCCCTGATTCCTGGGCTGACTCACCATGATTTCTTGCTTGAGAAACTGCAGAGGGACCGGCTTGGAATCCTGATGATTTTTCAGACCGGTCTCGGCACCGGTCCTGGGACCTGGGACCGGTTGCTCAGGGCTGGTCCGGAACGGCCCCAGGGCTTGGCCCCCTGCTTAATTCCTGGATCCAGCCCCCGCAGCGGGCGGGGGCCTGGTCAACTGCCTAGCTCTATGCAGCTTCTGCCCAACAACGCGCAAGTTCGATTCTGGTCCATGATTATTTGATAAACCAAAAACATGCCAGACTTGGAAGCATCCGTTCCAACTTGCCCTTTTGCCTTCCACTAAAACCAACCAACTAAGAGACACCTGCCCAACGCCCCGGCGGGGGGGGGGGTGGGGGCTGGCGCCATGTCCCGGACATCCCTTTCCGTGCGCCTGGCCGGTGGCCACGAGGCTCTGGGCTGCTTTGCTCAGCTCAGGCCCGCAATGCCCACACCGCGCGTCCCGCTGCAGGTGAGCGCACACGAAGACCGTGGCGTCCTCGATGTCGCGGGCGCGGAGTCCTGACCCCGTCACAAGGTGGTCAGGTGGGGCGCCCCAAAAAAAATCGGACCCGCGAAGATCGGCATGTTGAGAAGGCCCCATTCATCCCACCTTGTAGGTGGCGGATTTGGGGGAACAGCCTAGGATGCTGTGAGATTCACCCAATCATGACACAGATTGGGCCAAAACGGGGAGCCAAAAGGTAGGGCGCTTCAACAGTAGATCTTGAACAACTTTTAAATCGCGGGTTGGCCCCCCCCCGTTTAGAGAGGACTCCATGGCATTCTAGAGCCAACCATCGCCTTCAAAAACCACCCGGTTATCTTGGGTGGTTTTCTGGAGATACAGATCCTTGCAAAATCCGTTTACGGGCGCAACCATTTTTTGAAAACATCTGTTTCCTCAAACAAGGGGTCATTTTGTGGCTCGGGGTTATCTGCCTTGGACAAATGCGGATGCAGCGCATGAAGGCTAGGGAAGCTCCACATTGCCACTCCGACCCTCAAAGTTCTTTGGGCTTTTTTAGGACATCTTCAGGACAAGGCTAGGTTGGGTGGATTCACTGGCTTAGCAAGAAACTCACCAGCCATCTATGCTAGTTTGGGAAAACCACCACAAATCCCTCAGAGGTATTCGACTGCCGACCCTCCCATTTCCGTTGCGAGTGAAAAGAACATGTCGGAAACCCAGAGTGAAACCAACGGATGCCACACCAAATTCGAACCCCTTGAGGTTGGTCAACATGTTCAAGCTTCAAGAAAGCCCCCTTGTTGCTCGAGCTTCGAAGCACGGGCTGACATGATCATCATTTGCAGTCTTGCAGAAGTTGGCCCCAGGCCCAATTTCAGAATACGGGTTGTTTTAATGGAAGACCCGCCCCCCTCCATTGGACAGCCCGGAGGTGCTTGGGGGTTTCAAACCCAGGTTGCTTGAAGGTCCTAAATCAATCAAAAGCCTCTGGGTGCACGAGACGACCCCAAAGAACCCGCAGCCCCTTTCGCTTTGAACCGTCCGAGGGTCCACAGCTTGGGGCCTGCATCGAATCGAGTGGCACGTGTCGAGAGCTTGGATGCCCAGGTTCAAAGCCAAAGGAACGGGGCAACGAGGAACGCCCAATCAGAGGCTCCGTTGTATAAACACGCACCCCTCAAACAACTCAAATGTGGATACTACGAGCCTGAAATCCAAAAAGCAGTCCTTCCCCTAAAACGCATGAAAGCCACTAAAGCCACAGCGACGAGAATGCAATGAGGTAGAGAACCAAGGGCCACTAATTACATGGATTGTTGAAAAACCGAATTCGTTAAACATGCTCGTTAGATCTGCTGCAAAATTAAGGAACCAGGGGTAGGTTGCAACACATCTGCAAACTTTATTATATTGTTTTTTTAACCAACCCATGCTCAGTTTCCCAAAGGACCCAGAAACGAAAGGAGTTTAACCTTTTGGGGCCACTAACAATGGACGAGGGGCAACCCGAAGGTCAAAAGGTCAGCTTGCGAGCATAAGTTGAACTTTATGTCGTCCTTTGCTCACCTCGCCCTTGAGGTATTTCACCAGCTCTTGAGTCTTCGCGCCATCCGCGCCCAGGTCGAACTGAACCCCGTCGGGGTACAGCATCACATGCCCGTCCTGCCACTGAACTCCGAGCCGGCTTCTCCGGCAAACTGCAAAATGGAGTCGTCCTCGCCCGACTGCCCATCCAACATCATCACATGACACCAAGATTGCTCGATTCTGCACCTTCCCTTGGATCCGCTGCAACGAGCTAACTTTTTCGCGGCTAAAAGGGAACAGGAACACCCCTCCACCCCCTCCAACCCCTCCAACGCCGCGTGCCTCCATGCCGGCTTCGCGCTCCACCAGCGTGAGACGCAGCTTGCTCTTGATTTCCTTCTTGGCCTTGCCCAGCGCTTGGTCCAAATCCACCGGCAACGTCCTCGGCAAAAAGGCCACGCGGCAATGCCTCCAAGTTGTCTTGTTTTTTCAGCAAGCTGTGGGTAATTGCCACATCCCCTTTTGTTCAGTCAGGAGAATGGAGGTCTAGCTCCTACAGCTACAGTATAGCCATGGCTGCAGCCAATACTTTCTACTTGGCTGAACATCAAAGGCGCCTGAGCAGTGGCAGAGCAATGTTTTCAGGCGCTTGCCAAGAGCAAGCAGCGTGTGGGGAAATGTCAGACCAACACCACACTGATGTCACTTCTCATGGAAATGCGTCCAACATTGTCCAACATCTAACCTTAGAAATGGTCAGAAACAAAAACACGGTTGAAGGCCATGCGATCCAAACTTCCGGTGTAGACAATTCTCAACAATGAACCTCCCTTTGGCGTCAAAAGAACACATGCGACCAATGGATGGACTCTGCAAGTTGTCAACAAATTCTGAATTCGCTTTTGGGTCGGATTTAAAGGCACACAGATGGTACCTAGTTGTGACCCAGAGCCACGTTTCCGTTACCAGCGGGCGAACACTAAAAGGTGAATTCAGCAGTTGTGTTTTGCTTGCACCCATGGCGATCAAAGCTCACGCAGGTCCTACCATGCCTGTTTAGCCAGGTTCGACCAGTCTGATTCTGTTTCAATTTTAACCAGTCACCACCAACTTGAACGTTGAACCTACTCAAACGTCTGTAAGGAGGCTATGCTTGCACCACTGCCTCCTACTTTCCATGGTATCACATCAAAGCTCCCAAGCCTTCCCCCAGCCATTTTTTTGGGGGGAGAACCCTAAAAAAGGCGAGCCACCCAGCTGGGCTTCTGCTTTTTTCGGGGTTCCAAGGTTGGGTTGGATCTCCCAAAATTGCCCCAGGCAAAACGCCCCAAAAACGCCCATGGCGCCCGGCGTGGGTCTTGTCGAAGGGGTCCTCCGGCCAGGCCGTCGCCAGGCCCCAGGTGAGGAAGAGGTGCTTCTCCAGGGGCTTCATGGTGCCTTCTCTTCCATTTGGTTAAGACTCCTGGATTTGTTTCTTTTTTATTTTTTTTAAACAGTAGTGAAATCGGTTCCCGTTAAAACCAACAGGGGAAAAAACTAGTCTTCAGCAAATGGAAGTTCTTTTCCGAGCACATCCCCCCTGTGGATGTGGATGGTTGCAATAGCCTCTAAGGCACCACCAACTGCTTGACCTTGGAAGGGGAGCAACAATTCTTCAAACTTTTGCAGTTTAGCAGTTTAGTGGATTTGGATTTCAACCACTAAACCACAATAAGCCAGAATGTAACATGCTTCCCAACCATGACTGTGGATGTGGATGGTTGTGAAATCCTCTGAGGCACCACTGTTCAGAAACCCAAGGGATTTTTTTGGTTCGCCGATAAATACCAACAAACAATGGCTTTAACCATGCTTCAAGGTGGTGCAGGATTTCGTCCATCCACAGTACCATAAGGGGGAGAGGGGTGGGGAGCCGGTTCCCAATTCCGAGTAGCTAGTATTCAAAGGGAAAATGGAAGTGTAGATGGAATTCGTCACCCAATTCCGCTTTTAAGGGGGTGGATCCAAACATGTCCGATGGGAGCCTGGAAATCAAAGAGTGAACAAGCCACACTGAACGAGTGCAACTCACACGCGGAGGGAAAAAAAAAAACACGAGAAGCAGGGAACAGTCCAGGCAAACGTACCACTGAGTAAAAGAACTATTGAGAACTACTGCAGGGAAAAGAGGCACTATATCCACACGTCACCGACTGGTGCACCGAAATGCCACACGCATCCGCAATACAAAGTGAATTCCTTCCAGTGTTCGACTCAAAACCAGTTTTCCCTGTTGAACAAATAGAGGTAGCAAGTGGCGCATGCTCCAAACATTGCCAAGTGGACCCACTGAAAGCGATACTCTCGAGGCAAGCTGTGTGTTTAAACAAATGAGCAATAACACAATGCTGGGCCCATTTAGATGCTGCTTAAGATTGGGAGTTCCTTGCGGATGGGGCTGAATGGGACATCGAAAGGACACCACCCATTGTTGGGGGTCCCGACTTTTAGATGTCAGCCTTGCAAGAAAACATGGGATGCTAAAGCAACTGTTGAATTCTCCACACTGGATCAAGGTTAAGTACGCAGGGTGCGATTGATTCAGAAGTTCGAGCCCTTGAACCATGGGAGCGGTTTACTGCTGACAAAATGCAACAATGAAAACAAACAACTATTGGTTTCTCTTGACAGCAATTGGTTTGACGAGTTGGTTCCCATACCCTTACAAAACAGTTTTAGAACCAATTGGGTCTCGTGGAAGGAACTTGGCAGTGGAGGGTTTTGACTCCAAATGGCTTCCATATCCCCGTTAAAATAATAATAAAACACCTGCGTCTGACAGTTCCAAGTTCAACCGCGTCGATTCGCCTGCCAGTGGCTCCGAGTTCATCTCTGAGCGCTGGAAGCCGACCTCCATGTCCGCCATGTCTCAAGCGCCCGCCGCCGCAAAGAGCAAACGGCAACACAGCTCCCGTGAGCCAAATGGCAGCGGGTTCCAGGGTGTGGAGCCAGTAAACGGCTTCAACTTAGCTTCGAAATGAGCCGGTTTTGACGCACACGCAAACAGTGAATGTGCCAAATGGCCTATGATAGCGGCTAGCGGCCATGAGCCTTGTGCGTGCAAAGTTTGGCCGGTTCGGCAGCCCGCCTATTCAAAACACGGAAACCTGTGGGCTGTCCCCCTGGTGCCCGCCTAGGTCCAAAAAAAAAAGAAGTAGACTACCTATCGCGCTACAAACAAAGATGCAACATTGTTTACCCATGTTTACCCGTAAATCTTGAAGGGAACCAAACATATCTTAAGAACTGGGAAGAATTGGATTTTGGGGGAGTTTCACACACCTGCCTTTCCCAATCGTAACTCGGCGAGTTTCCTACGCCAATTCGCTGCAACATAATTGGGAGGAACGAGGCTCAAACTTTGATCACAACCCTGCGGGTAGTTCCGAAAGAGGGGATGATATGACCGCCGTTTCACGAGACACAGACAACAGGTGGCTGAGCTCACTTGACACCATTGTCGTAGCAATTGGTGGTCTGGATTGGTTTGGGGAATTGAACTTTTTTGTCAATTGCTCCAATTGCTCTTTTCTAATTTCACCTGACTAGAGAGATCGAAAACCAGATCCTGACAGCCCACTGCTCGCGCTGTTCGGGCGACCTTCGACAGGCCGGCCGAGCCTGTGATCCCACCAGTCGAGACAGCAGTGCCTGCCATACTGAGCACGCGGACGGACGAGAAATCCTGCAAAATGTTTCGCAAAAAACCGCCCAGACAGAGGACGTTTTATGTTTGGCAATGGGTTTTTGTCCAATCTGAGCCAATACGATTGCATCAAAACCAACATGCTAGAAAGGCCAAGGCAAGAACATGAAACGGAACAGGAACCTGTACCCGATTGATGGGAAGACAGCTGATAGAACTTTGCATGGCCACTTGCATAGTTTTGAATGGAGAAATTGAGTGGCCCCCTCATCTCCTCCAAGATGCAAGCATAGACTACGAAGAGTATTGTCACTTGCTCAGCTAACTCGGCCATTCGATCATTCGGGAAATTGGTACGTTGATACGGCTGGGAACCCCGAAGCATCCTTCATCCTGCAAGGTCGTCAATGCTCTGTGCTTTTCTCTACGTGACAATCTAATGGCCCTTCCTTTCGGGCCATGGGCTTGGTGGTGCACCCTACAAAACCGGCCATGACACCGGGTGGATTCCTTTGGGCAGGGACTGTGGCCACCTCAAAGCGGAAAGCTACCACCCAGGTCCCAACTGCTTCGTGGACATTGGGATTGTGGACTTTGGCAAAAACATGTTGTTGGGTGGGGGAAAAGAAAACAGCTTTGGCTGTCTCCCATTTCCTCACAGCTACTTCGCAACCAAAGTTGCTGCATGAATTGCTTGCTGGAAAATAGGGCAATGGCACACTCTCTTCTGTTTGCCTGGCTCTGAGGCGTTTCAGTACGGCCTGCTTCTGGCTATTCTTTCAAGTGACGTACTGGATGCGGCCCTCAAAACTTTATCCGGTGCTGGCAGGGGCAACCATTTGACCCACTGGTTTAAGCAAAAGAAGGCCCTCCCTAACTCCCCAAAAACACCTTCCACCATCAGAGAGGCCGTTTCATTTCACATGGCCATCCTGAAACCAGATAACACAAACACGCGGCACCGTCAGAGGCCTCCCCAAATCACCTCCCGATCCGATCCGCGCCTTTCGAGCCTGGCGACTCGGAGATAGGTTGCAAGGAACTTCCCCCTCGAGAAAAGCATGTCCCCAGCACCCTGGTTCCTTTGGCTTGGAGGGGGACCCAAATGAAGCAGGTTCGTTGCAGTTGACAAAGGGCAGCTGCCCTCTGAGTTACATGCAATGAAGTTATATGTCTGGGTGCTGGGCTGGGTAAACAGGGGGTGGGGAAGAAACCAACCACACGCGTCAACCTCTGTGAGCATTCCTTGGAGGGGCATCCACTATCAACTTTGTAGCACCTATGGTCGGTGATGAGAGTCCAAGGACAGCTTCATCAGGCCTTGGGACCAATGCGTACTTTGAGTATTGTAAGAACCACATTCAACACGAGAGCTTGCCTTGTGCCTGCTTCAAACATGAAATTACCCATGATTGTAAAAGGGAAATATCAAATCCTGCATGGTAAACTCTCCAGCCAGAAGAGCTCGGGCAAGCAACCTTTTTTTGAAAGAAGCAACCCTTATTTTTTGAAGGTGCCTCCAGAAACACATCGCGCTGATTTGATCATTGATCGACATGGTTGCGGGCAATCCTTATCAAGTGATACCAAAATGGCTCATTACTGTCAAAATGAAAGGGGCCTTAAACCCCAACCATGCACGGGGAACCGACTAGCCTTGGAGTGAAACAAATGTCGACCCTTTCGAGTCCTGACCTCGGAGGGCTGTGCCGTCACGACTTTGTAGAAGGTGCCGTCTGTACAGGTATGGCTGGGGCTGAGCCCAACCAAGCCTTACACCTTTGCATCTTACGCGCCCTTCGCGTCCGCTGGAGCAAGGGCCAAGACAAATGTGTGATGGAACCTCGAAGTGCCATTGTTTCAATTGTGTGCTGAAATTTAGTTTTTCCTGCACCCTCTGAATGTGATCTTCAATCTTCAGAACATGCCCGAAGCCCCTCGCAATTCTTGAGTACTCCAGTGATTCCAACCACAAATGGGCCAACAATTCCTTAACCCGACAGTCTAAACATGAAGCTGGAATATATTTTCGCAGGAATGTTCCTGTGATCCAGCCCCAACGTTGAAACGCAACTTCAAGTGTGTGTGTGTGTGTGTGGTTGATGTGTGTGTGTGTGTGTGTCGTGTGTCTGCGTGTGTGTGACGTGTGTCTGTGTGCGTGTGTGTTTCGTGTGTGTGTGTGTGGGTGGTCTGCGTGTGTGTGTGTGTGTCGTGTGTGTCGTGGTGCAGACGGTGGCATGGGGAGTCGGCGGGGGGTCCTTTGTGCGCTCGGGCATCTTCTGCTTGCTGGAAGCAAGCGTCAAGCACCCAAATCGTTGTGCAACACAAAGGGTTACCGACTAGCATTTCAATCCGCCAGTTCCATCCAGTGCCCCTTTTGCCCTTTTGGGAGTTGCCTTTTCAACCCGCCAGTTCGGGACTCTCAAGGCCCCCTTTTGGGAGTGAGTCGCTTCTGGAGGTCAGTGGTGCCGGCGATGCGTGTGTGTGTGTGTGCGCGTGTGAGTGTCTCTGTGTGAGTGTGTCGTGTGCGTGTGTCTCTCTGTGTTTGTCGGGTGTGTGGGTGGTGTGTGTGTGTGTGTGTGTGTGTGTGTGTGTGTGTGTGTGTGTGTGTGTGTGTGTGTGTGTGTGTGTGTGTGTGTGTGTGTGAACCGTCCTGGAACACGGACGTTAAGCAGGGGTGACCAGGCGTCTTGCTGCTGACCTGGTCTAACAAAGCTAGGCAGCAAGACGGGATACCGGAATTGGCCATTCCGGCGTACCTGCCATCCTTTCGTGACCTAGTGTGTTTCCTCGGTTTTCCACTGTTTGCTTCATGTTCGGTTTCGATGATGTGACATTTGCACTGCAGATTGATTTTTTCATGCCCTTTCAGTACAATCGCGTGTCTGCAAGAGCAGCCTCTCGAGATAAGTGTGTTTACCCACGGCCTGTCCGACATGGCGCTGTGGGCTGGACTCGCCACATGCGGGAGCCCCCTGCGAGGGGAAGACCGTTCATACGTTCAAATTCAGCCTGCCGTTCAGCGCGCTTGACCACGATCAAGGCTGCAACTTGAGGTCTTAAGGTATTCCGCACCCAAATGGTGCTCTGCTGGTTTCATGTGCGTTGCACTGCCTGCCTTTGAAGCAAGGCTGCGCCCACGAGGTTTTAGGTTCCTAAGCTTCATGCGCCAGTGACGAGTTGGTCATACACCAACTCTGCAATTCGGGGTGTTTATGGAAGCTTTCGTCTCGGATGAGTTCAATTCAGATTCATCGGCATAGCCACATGAGGCACTTTCATGAGGCCACTTGACAGGCACCTCTGAGAACCCCTTTGTGCTCGCATGCATTTGCACCATTGACGCCTTGCGAAACCTTTTTCCGTTGCCGCGGGGTTTTTTGTCGGTCCCCCGGTGGAATTCCCTCGGTTTGGTTTTGTGCGCTCGGGTTTTTCGTCCTTGAAAATGTTTTGCTGTTGCCGGGGGTTTTTGGAGGTCCCCTGGTGGAATTCCCTCTGCTTGGTTTTGTGCGCCCGGTTTTTTGTCCTTGAAATTCTTTTGCTGTTGCCGCGGGGTTTTTGGCGGCCCCCTGGTGGAATTCCCTCTGTGTGGTTCGTGTCCGCCCCGCCGGGGCCTTGTGTGTGTGAACCGTCCTGGAACACGGACGTTAAGCAGGGGGACCAGGCGTCTTGCTGCTGACCTGGTCTAACAAAGCTAGGCAGCAAGACGGGATACCGGAATTGGCCATTCCGGCGTACCTGCCATCCTTTCGTGACCTAATGTGTTTCCTCGGTTTACCACTGTTTGCTTCATGTTCGGTTTCGATGATGTGACATTTGCACTGCAGATTGATTTTTTCATGCCCTTTCAGTACAATCGCGTGTCTGCAAGAGCAGCCTCTCGAGATAAGTGTGTGTGTGTGTGTGTGTGTGCGTGTGCGTGTGCGTGTGCGTGTGCGTGTGTGTCGTGTGTGGGTGGGTGTGTCGTGTGTGCGTGTGCATCGTGTGTGTGTGTGTGTGTGTCGTGTGTGTGTGTCGCGCGTGTGTGTGTGAACCTTCCCAGTTCGCAGAAGATGGGTTCACAACCCATTTTTCCTTGAAGCAGGGGGGCACGGCGCCAGATTGTTGACCGTGCCTAACAAAGCTATGCAAACTGGCGGGATAGAGAGCCTGATCAGCTCTGCGTACCTGCAGTTTCGACCTTTAACCCGTGTACGTGGCGTTCATTCGTCAGGCTTGAA